CCCCCCCCCCGCCGGTAAGGGGCGGCCCGCCCCGCCCCGGCCCCGGTGGGGTGTCCGCGATAGATTGGGGGGGACACGTCGGGTGGGCCCGTTAAAGCCTTCTCCTCGGGCAGAGCCCCGCACCGACGGAGCTGCGGGACCTGTGCTGGGCAGCCGAGTTCTTGTATTGATTCGTACGCTCTCAAGTGTTTATGTTGCCTCTATGGGAGAAAACAGCGACAGAATCGCGATTCAAATCTTTATGCAGCGGTTGCTGCACAAATTTGATCCGTTTTGAAGTCGCTACGTGACATCGTTCGTTTTAAGATCTTATTTTCGACCACGCGCAGCTCGGCCCTTGGCCAGGATTCCCGTTTGCTGCCAGTTACCCTCTGGCCTTCGGCGGGAGAGCCTGCCCGTCGGCCGCCCCGAGGGCTGGGCACCCATCGGCTCAGCCACGCTCTGCGCCGGACCTTTCCTCCCAGCCGGGTGACGTTGTTCCAGTTACGGGCCGTGCTGGGTGGGGAGAAGCCGTGCGCCTTCCCCATCCGTCTGCCCGAGCAAGGGTCGTCCCCCCAGCTCTGCCCGCGCCCCTTGGGACGCGGCCGACGGAGCAGCCCTGGAATCGGGCAGCTCTGCTGTGCCCGTTGGCTGCTCGTGCGCGCAAGCCTGTTTCCATTTTTTTGTGGGGGTCACACAAGGGGAGGGATAATGGCAGCGGGAAGGCAGAAACAGTGATTGAAATGTCACTTGGAGTTCCCCAAAGAGTCAGTGTGGGGCACCCCTATAAACCAGCGGATTTTGAGCAGAATAACTTCATGGCTTTTTTTGCTTTGGACAGTGTGTTCCCTTCGCCAGGCTGCAGCGTGTCTCTGGTTTGTTCTTTTGAATTACGAGTGGAAGTAGGCTAAAAGGGAACTCGATAAAAGCTGCCTGCATGTAGTTCTAGATACATTATTTGGGGATTTTTTAATGTATTTTCTAGTGGGAGAATGGAGTATATAAAGGCAAGAAACACAAAGAGAGACACATTAGGCGGTGACTTGGGTGAAGGCGATGCCAGTAGCCAGAGGAGCTGGGCTGAGCAGGGTGGGCAGCCCCGGGCTGGGCGGTGCAGGGGAGCTGGCTGGGGCAGGGGGCTGGGCTGGCTCTGCGCCCCGTCTGCGGTTACTCTGCGCAGGCTCTGTCTTTCCGGGACAGTTTTAAATGTTATCTGGGTGGTGCTTTGAGATGCCTCACCATCCTCCCCATGCATTTGTGCACGCACAGGAAAATCAGGCTGGGTTGCTTTGGGGACTGTACAAGACACGTAGGAAAAGAGGAGTACGCCCTTTTGCTTCGGCTTGGCGAGTCTTTCTGCTCTGGGCTCTCTCCAGGGCACGAGGCAAGTAGATGCAGGGATCTGTCATGGAGTAGAAAATGCATGTTCGTGTGAAAAAACTTCAACTGAGCAAGGAGTGACTTGCACATCTTTGGAAATTACTTTGTTCTGGACATGGTAACACCACACAGTTTAAATGTGAATCTGCTGTTTAGGCAGTTTAGTTAATGCTTCCAAAACAGAATAAGAAGTTTCTTTACCCCCAGCCAAGATTCTCCTCGCAAGTCTTTTTGTTTCTTGCTGTTTCCGTGATACTTCTCGCTGATGTAGAAGTGTCCTGCGTACACAGAGAAGTCCTTCTGTGCATCACAAGTGCATGAGTTGTAGAGTAGCCTTTAAAACTCTGTGCTTCGATTTCAAAATTTCAGATTTAGACTTAACCTCCTGAGCATAGTAGTGCCTGGACAGAACTTTTCTCCAGAGCAGTGTCCATGTGGACCTTTCTGCCCCAAAATCAGCAAGAGAGGAAGGTTCAGTTGTTCTCAGGAGGACTGCGATGATGTTATCTGCATATTTCTTCTTACCTGATAGCTTTGACTGGGGGGGTTGGACCAATGTCTATCACTGATGACTGGTGACAGGAGAATTTCTTGCAGACATGTTCTGAGTCAGGGTAATTTTCATCCTGTAGGTGGAAATATAAACGAGGATTCGGTGGTCAAAAATTACTTTGAAAGTCTCTTGCGAAGCAAACAAGTAAATCATTTGAACAATTAGTCTCCGTAGCTTTGAAGATTTTTTCATTGTTGAATTGGTGCTCTGGACCTCCAGCATGATACCACGACTCGAGCTGTGTGAGCTGAGTCTGTGCTGGGAACTGTGGGGCAGGTAGAGTGGTGCACGCTGCCTCTGAAAAAACTCTTTCAGATGCTCCAAGTATTTTAGCTCAGTAACACTAAAATCAAAGCAGATTGCGTTTGCAGGGTTATGTATTCCAGTCCCTGGCTTAGTTAACTGTAACTTGTGCATTTCTGTGCTTCTGTGCAGAGTGGTTTTGCCCAAAATCTCTTTGGGCTCTTGGGCGTGATTTTTGGACTCTGCTCGTGCTTGTCCGTTCATGTGTTCTGTTTCACAGAGGTTCTGAGGCTTTGTGTGGTGTTATACATAGCAAGGACTTGGGCGAAATACATGTTAGCCTTTCAACTCCTACTGCTGAAGGGTCTGGTGGCAGAAGAACAATTACGTCGAGAGTAATCCGCCTTAATTTTTCGTGTGCTCTGTTCATACTGTCATTAATAGTACCTCCTGTATGTGTTTACTCTAGACTTGTTATACTTTTCACGGATGAGCTGGGTCATGTTTCCCACTGGAGAGCCATCATGGCAGGAAGTCTGGCTGGCATGGTTGCAACCATCATGACTCACCCCACTGACGTAATTAAAACACGGCTCATTGTGCAGAACCGACTGGAACCATCTTACGAAGGAATTCTTCATGCTTTTTACAAAATTTATCATCAAGAAGGACTCCTTGCACTCTACCGTGGCTTTTCACCAGCTATATTAGGTAAAATAATAAAGGGGGGAAATCACCTCATTGCACATCATTTATTGCAGCTACATAGTGCGTTCGTTTGCTCACTTGAGTTCAAAAGCAAACAGTAATGTTGTTCTGTAGAAGGTGTGGAGATTTACAAGGCACTGCTATACTGGTTACTTCTGCTGCAGCTTTATTGCTTGAAATTATGACCAAGTGCATAGTATGTTATGTATGCTGAAGTGTTCAACAAAATACTCTTCCTTCTTTTATAGATGATCTAGTTGTGCTCAGAAGCAAGATTTCTGCCATTTAACTCCTAAAAAAAAGTGCAGCCTGCTGTAGGAGACCCTGCTTCGGCAGGGGGGTTGGACTAGATGACCCACAGAGGTCCCTTCCAACCCCGACCATTCTGGGATTCTGTGTGATTCTGTTCCTAATTCCTGCCTAGGTGGGAGAGTGTCTCCCTAGCTGTTAGTGGAAGCAGCATGAGCACTAACGTATAACTGATGTGAAAAGTGAAGATCAGTGTACGTTAAATGACCTTTTATTTATTTACTCTCCATAGCTTTTAAAAATGCCATTTAACCTTCAGCCCACTTTTTCACAATGTGAAATTATAAAAAATGCATTAAAATAATAATGTATATTCCCATGATAAAAGTGATATGAGCATGAAACAAGCTTCTGTGATTCTGTGAAAGAGGACAGATGTATCCCTCATCAGCTTGACTGAAGAGGCAACTCTGTACAGCTGCTAGGGTTGGGTTGGACTGGAGAAAGAGCTTGTCACAAAAGAGGTAACCTGGAGAAGAGCTGACCTGTCATGAGATTAAAGCAGTTACTAATTCTGACAACATGTGCATTTCAATATGTAAGTATGTACCCCTGTCAGCACATCTAGATGCTACAGTATGGGTGTTTGGTGATAAACCAGTGACTAAAAATAAAGTTCTTAAAAATATTGATCTGGTTTGAGCAATGTGAGGTGTAAACTTGCAGCAGCTCATCCCATCTTTCTAGGTTATGTAATCATAGAATCACAGAATGGTTTGGGTTGCAAGGGACCTTTAAAGGTCATCAAGTCCAACCCGCCTGCAATGAGCAGCGACATCTTCAACTGGATCAGGTTGCTCAGAGCTCCGTCCAACCTGGCCTTGAATGTTTCCAGGGATGGGGCAGCGACCACCGCTCTGGGCAACCTGTCCCAGTGTTTCACCACTCCTATCATAAAAAACTTCTTCTTTGTATCCAGTCTAAATCTGCCCTCTTTTAGTTTAGAGGCATTACCCCTTGTCCAGTCGCTAGAGGCCCTGCTAAAAAGTCTCTCCCCATCTTTCCTATAAGCCCCCTGCAGGTACTGGAAGGCTGCAGTAAGGTCTCCCTGGAGCCTTCTCTTCGCCAGTCTGAACAGCCCCAACTCTCCCAGCCTTTCCTCGTAGGAGAGGTGCTCCAGCCTGTAGGTCATCTTTGTGGCCTCCTCTGGCCCCGCTCCAGCAGGTCCATGTCTGTACTGTGCTGAGGGCTCCAGAGCTGGACGCAGGACTCGAGATGAGGGTCTCACCAGAGTGGAGCAGAGGGGCAGAATCCCCTCTCTCGTCCTGGTGGCCACGCTGCTGTGTATGCAGCCCAGGATATGATTGACTTTCTAGGCTGCGAGCACACATTGCCAGGTCATGTGCAGCTTTGCATCCACCAGTCCTCCCAAGTCCTTCTCAGCAGGGCTGATCTCAATCCCTTCATGCTCCAGCCTGTATTGATACTGGGGGTTGACCTGACCCATGTGCAGGACCTTGCACTTGGCCTTGTTGAACCTCATGAGGTTCACAGGGGCCCACTTCTTGAGCTTGTCCAGGTCCCTCTGATGGCATCCCATCCCTCAGGCACGTCAACCGCACCACTCAGCTTGGTGTCATCATCAGACTTGCTGAGAGTGCACTTGATCCTGCTGTCTATGCCATCGACAACGATACTAAACAGTACTGGTCCCAATAAGGACCCTGAGAGACAGTCCTTGTCATCGATCTCCATCTGGACATCGAACTGTGTGACCATTCAACCAATTCTTCATCCACCAAACAGTCCACCCATCAAATCCATCTTTTTCTGATCTAGAGAGAAGGATGTTGTGGGGGACCATGTCAAAGGCCTTACAGAAGTCCAGAGAGACGACATCTCTAGCTCTTCCCCTGTCCACTGATGAAGTCACTCTATCACAGAAGGCCGCTGGGTTGGTCAGGCAGGACTTGCACTTGGTGAAGCCATGCTGGCTGTGTCAAATCACCTCCCTGTCCTCAGCGTGCCTTAGCATAGCTTCCAGGAGGATCTGTTCCATGCTCTTCCCAAGCACAGAGGTGAGGCTGGCAGGTCGGTAGTTCCCAGGGTCCTCCTTTCCACCCTTTTTAAAAAAAGATGAGCAGCTCCATTTTCATAGTGTACAGTATGCTGATATAAACCACCGGTCTGTTTGCTTTCTAGGTGCTGTCCCATTTTCTGCGGGCTCATTCTTTGTTTATATCAATCTGGACAAAATCTGGCGAGAACCCATAGTTCATTTCACTCCTCTTCAGAACTTCATAAATGGCTGTGTTGCAGCTGCTGTGGCACAGACACTTTCCTTCCCCTTTGAGACTGTCAAGAGGAAGATGCAGGTATAGATCATTCGTGTTACTAGTACTTTGTTAGAGGTGCTTGTTGAAGGAGTTTGGGACAAGACTAGACAGATGATCATGAGTGCCACTTCATTTCTCTTACCAGTAAGCTACAGAGGCTTTGTTTTAGGTGGTTCATTACTGGGGTTTTGGGGGAAATTGTGGGGTTTTGTTTTCTGGTTTTTGTTTGGTTTTTTTAATGTCTGAAAATGATTGTTACAAGTGTGTTGTTACACTTTTAAGGTGGGTTCAAGCAGTATTGTGGGGTATATGCATACTCTCAGACTCCGTGTCTTTAGCTTTATTTCTTTCATTTTTCATAGCAATTCCATCAAATTCTCACAGTTCAGCCTTGGCAAACCTTCTGTCAAATGCAGGCATTCAGTCCCCTTAGTGGGAGGCAGGATGAACGAGATCCATGTCATTTGCAAAGCCTGTGTGTCTGCCATTTATGCCTGACCTATGTACAGGCAACCACAAGAAACTTTTACAGCAAGTATTAAGTCTGAAGGGTCAGGACTATCCTTGTTCTTATTTCTGACTCCACCAGTTAACAAGTGACTTCCCAGTTGCTGGTGCTGCTGCTTTCCTGGAGCATCAGCAACATGAGAGTCACTATATGAAGTCACTATATCATTCTATATTACCTTGCTGTTCTTTTCTCCTGAAAGTTTAGTAACAATGATTTAAAAAAAACCGAAACCAAACCAAAAAACAACCATCACCCCACAGCTTCCATCTCACCAACATAATTCATTTGATGATGTCAACTTTTCAGTAGAGTGACAGCGAATAGCTGTCATCATCTGGTGGCTCTCTGGCTGTGGCATATGAGTTTGTTCTTTCAGCCCAGTTCCTAGGACTGCAGATTTATGGGAAGCTTTTGTGATCTTATAAAAAAAGCAGTCATTTGGTGTGGTGGCATTATGTAGATCCCTGTCCCCCTGCTCATGTGATAGTCTGGTTGATAAGTCACAAGCTAGGAAGAGGTCAGTGAAACTGTGAATTCCCCTCTCCTGCTCCCCAGGTTCCCTTTTCCAGACAGGGCTCAGATCCAGTGGCACAGAAGCCTTCGTTGCCCTCTCTTTGTCTCGTAGCAGATGACCTCAGCGGGAGAAGTAATGTCTTTTATTAGAGCAGCTCATGTAGCTGACGTGTCCAGAAGTCAAGCTTTAAGCTGACACCTTGCATCAGGTATCTCATAAAATGTGTAGGGTGAGAAAGAGATTCTGAGCATGAAAACATGATCGTTTTTTCCAGCTGTATCAGTGGGTCTAAGAAAAGCAGTTACTCCTTACAAGTCATCTCTTTCTTTATATCCTTAAGCTCACAGCAATATTGTTGCCCTAAAGAATAAAGAGAAAGACGTTTACTGTGCTGTTTCCCTTTTAACATTTTCTATCAATACATCAGTTACTTGAACATTCAGTTTTTGTGATCAGTTCAAAAGTGACTTTCGGTTGTAACTGGTGTGATGTTAAGTTCTGTGCCAAGCTTTGTCATGACAGGCAAGTAGAGGAGTGGAGCAGGCCCATCTTCCATTTTCCTGCCACTAGGCTGTACTCTTTTGCCAAAGGGATGCTTAAAACTTCTGACTGGCAATTTTAGAAAGAAGAATGGAGCTGGATTTATTGCCTAAATATGTAGGAAGTGGATATGCTAAAAATACTTTGGACGGAAAAAAGACCGAACAGCAGAGAGGTTTTTTTCCTCATAGATGCATTGCAACAACTGAATAGTGATTTTCCAAGCTTAGAGAAACACCTCCTGGTCAGTGATTTATTCTGAAGGCACGGGAGAAGGCAGAGGTGTTTCAGAAGAAGTAGCTGCCTAGGTGTGAAAGCCCACGATTTGCTTGGTACTGGAAACGACGTAAGTCACGGAGGCTTGTCCAGAAAAGAGACCCAAACCGATACTGAGAGCTCACTGGAACTCAACTAAGGTCACCCAAGAAGTTTGTTTTTCACAGTTGGCATCAGGGTATGGCCCAGCGTTGCAGGGATCAGCTGTGCTTTGTGCTTACTTGCTGGCCTGTTCACTTTGCAGGGTGGTGGTCAGAAGAGAGAAATGTCTAGGACGGCGCCAGAAAAGGTATCATGCGCTGGGACCTGAAAGGGGGAGAATAACGAAGGGAAAAACAGAGCTTCAAGACATTTCAGTGTTCTGTAGAAAACAGGGGAGCAGATACTTCTGACCACGGTTCTTGTTAGGCATTGTGTTCTGACCAGCCTTCCTAGCTGAGAGGAAGAGGGGTGTACCAAAGCCCTCAGCTACCCCCAGGCCTGGTGTGAGTGCTCTGCAGTGCACCTAGGGAGATGCTGGCGTTGTTCTGAAGCTACGAACACTGGTTTCGTGCACAAAGAGGAACCCAGCACACTGCGGAGGTCAGTATCAGGTTCCTCTTCCTTCGCTCCTGTCCCACTGATCTGACAGAAGGAGGTAGTACATTGCCAAAGATGACTTTTCCAGGGAACCTGTTGATGATGGGGAGCCAGGGAGTTGCAAGGCAGCCTCAGGAGCTTCAGAAACTGGGGCACAAGGCTGTCTTCTCTGACTCTGGGATGGAGTACAAGCCTGAGACCCGAACATCCAGTTCAGATCTTTACCTGATGCGCTAGGCAGTCGGAAGAGTTAGCTTCATCTATCTCCTCGCCTAGACAAAGCTTGAATTGTTTGCACGGACTAGAAAATGAATTCTGCTATGGGAGGAAGGATAAGGTGTTATTTTTAATCTCAGTTGTAATAATTTTGTTTCATCCTTTCTCATTTTACATATCTGAATCCTACACTTCTGACGTCAGCAGCTTCTGTCACTGACATCTGTGGGAGTAGGAGCTGACTGTCTGTGAACAATTCTTCCTCTGTGTTTTGGTGATGATTTATGATGTCAGATTTGCTCTGTAACCATGGCTTCTTCCCCCTCTGCTATCTGAATTATCTTTATCATGTTTACTTTTTTTTTTTACAAAGATGCTATGTTTGCTGAATACACTTGAATGGTTTTCTTAGAAGAAATGTTAATTAATATGAGTGAGTCTTAGTGAATATGTGAGTCCTCCTTGTTGTGCTTATCCTAATTTTATTCCTTTGTCTTCCTTTTTTTCACTTTGCTCCTGATTGGCATGTTAGAGAATGAAGAGGTACTGTATGCATGTTTTGGCATGGAAATACGGCTTTTGTTGTGCGTCTGTAGAAGGGGATTAGTGGAGAGGGTTGTTCAAATGGATGTTCTATATCAAATGCTTTCCTGACTCACTCTTATACTATATCAGTTTCTGAACAAAAACTTACTGATCTTTATATCTTTCTGGCTGTTTCTCATTCTTGGCTTGCCTTCCTTATCGCACAGTATCATGTTTTGTTAAATGCAGTATCTAAGTGACATTCAAGTACTGAAGTACTGCACTTTTACACTTGCAGACTTAAGTGCAAGAACACTTTTTTCTTTTCTTTTTTTTTTAACCTTAAGCAGGGAAATACCTGCCTGTGAATGAGTCTGGGTCTAAGGGAAGCACAGGTGATGTGATTCCACTTCCCCACACCATCTTTTTGCCTATGATCACCTTCGTAAGTGCATACTGGACTGAGCTCTGTCATTTCAGCAAGGGAGGATGAATTTAGAGCTGTTATATGCCATCCAGAAGATTATTATTAGAATGACACCGATCCCAGGCTGTGTGTAGAACTGAAAATCTACAAACACGCAAATGGTCAGCGCAAACCTAATACCCGAGTTTGGCACTTCCCTCTGCGCACATGACTCGGAGGTAAGCTCAGATACCCTGGCTGGCACTTCTCAGCCTTCGTTCCAAATTGACTTCTGACTTTGGTAGTTTTGTTAGACAAAATGCACGAAGATGACCCTAAAGTTTCACAGATGCTCCATCAACTGTACCATTACTCCTTACCTGCTTACGTGGACAAACTTTGCATAGTTTGCAGAAGCTTAGTCCTGTCCCCGTATTTTTCTGGTGTAATTTGTTTTAATTTCTGTGACTATAACTTGTCTGAAACTCTCCTTCACTCATAAATACTGCTCAGGGATAGCTTTACCACCAAACCCTTGTAATATAGAATAAGCCTGCTTCTAGTGTACTGCAGGATTCAGCATGTTTTTGGTATTGACTACAGAGCATCCTCGAGTTGTGAGGACATCTCTCTGGGGAAAGCATTATTCAGTAGTGATCTTTCTGTTTTAAAATCCAGGCTCTGAATTCCCTCCACCGCCATAAACAAACAGGCTCGCTGGTTTTGGTGAGCGTAGACCAGTGCCGTGCATCACCCAAGCAGTGGCCTTGTTTCAGTGACAAAAATGAATCAGTTAGGCCTTGGCTGCCTATCAGTCTGCAATGTGTTTGGGTGGGTTTTTTTTGTTGGGGTTTATTTTGTTCTTTGGAATGCAAGATGCTCTGCAAGTGTGAAATCTGTTGTAAATGATGTAAATGCTATGAGTTCTTAGTAACCTTGAGAAAATGAAGCAGGCATTTTCTTTGTGAGGTAGCCTGTTTAAAGTAAACGCAATCTTGTGCTCGGTTGGCACATTTCTAGTCTGAAGTCAGTTAAAGGAGATACTGAAGTCTCCTTTTAAAAGTAATACAATTATGTAAGCATTTATTTAAAAATAGTCCCCTATGTTCCTTCCGTGGTAAAAGTCAGTCTAGCAAGAACCCAGTGGCTGGGTTATAAACAAAGCTTTGGAATAGAAAATTATAAATGTTTGCAGAAAAGCACCTTCTCCCTGCTGAAATGAGGAGACAGTGCTCCTGCATTGCTTAAACATGAGGAACTTGCAAAGCCTGCCCTGTCACTGGAGATGGTCGCCGGTGCTGGTGTGGCAGCCTCTGAGAGCTCTCGAGCTGTGTCATCCCTGCCGGTTGTGAGATCTGTGTTCTTGTCAGCTGGGAATATAAAAGTTATTGGAGTCACGACCCGGTTTAAAAATAAGAAATCCTTTTTTGGGTCACGTGGTTCACACGACATCTCAAAAGCATACGTGCTCT